TTTTTCTGGCTAATGACTCACTGGTTTATAGCCCCGTGTTTAGCAAAACTCCTGTAAGGCAAGTGAAATAATTATCACAATGAGTTTGGTAACAGCGTGATCCCAGGTCTTAAATACGCCTCAGAGACCAAGGTGATTACTCTGCTTAAGTTTCTTTCTTGCTGACTGTTCACATCTTCAGACCACCTCTGAACGTTTGCTAGTGATGAAGTTCAGCAGAACATGGAGGTGGACAGAACCAGATTTCTTCCTGCTTAAGCTCACAATCTTCCCTGTGCATTTCATGAAGGGTTTTAATTTCCTTCCAGTGCCTACCAGACAATGCCAGTGCAGCCAGACTTCCCGGCACTTGCATCTCTGGAAGCACTGCTGATTATCATGGCAAGGAAAAGTACAAGGAATTTGTATTAGGAGAGATGGGAACAATGATGTGTGAATGAAACTCCAGTGATTTCACTCCTGCTCGAGCAGTGCAGGGCGGGAGGGAAACCGAGGCTGTAGCCTGTGGTCGGTGCCGGCAGAGCCCTGCGGCTCCAACCAGAGCTGGCAGGCAGAGCCGGGGTATTCAGGTGCTTCCTGCGCTCCCACACCATCCAGGGGTGCCACAGAGACAGGCAGCCAAAGGGGGGGGCCAGCCAGAGCCTCCCCAGAGCGTCTTCTTTTTATCATCATCTCATACTTGTGCTAAGAAGTCTCTTAATTTCAATGCACCTTCAATAGGTGGCTCATACCGGCGGCTTAAATGATATTATTGAGTTTAAATGATATTACTGAGTGCACTGAGCTGAGAAATCTCCCGATTGATTATCACACTAGTTTACTCATCTACATAATTCTTTATAAACGTTGCACCATCCAGTAAACAAAAATAGAGACCCCACAGAGAGCTACTGTGGGTGTGAGTGAGACTGTTCCTGTCTGCAGATTTCATAGAATAAACTTTTAGAGCGAGGTTATAGTTTGTGCCTCACACCAGAGTGTGGTTTACCATCAGAAAAGCATCGTGCCTGCAGTCAGGTGTGATCGCTTGTGCGATGCGGTCCCTCACTCCCGGCTGATTTCCAGCGATGGCAATTTGCAGAACTAGTCGTTTTATTTATCTCTCTTCAGTGATGTCTTAAAGCTCTGGAGTGTTCACTCCTCAGGGGTTTTTCCTGACGGGGTAGTTCACGTGTGTCTGTGCTCCCTGTAAGACACAGACCATGTCTGCTGGAGCAGTGGCAGTTACCTGTCCTCTCCCTCCGCTGCTCGCAGTGCCGACAGCCTGCACTGCCCAGCCTGAGCGCTGACAGAGCACCCACTCGTGCTCTTTTTATCCTTAGATTTCTCTCCCAATCTTACACCTCCACCCTAAGTCTCTGTGTGTCTTTATCATTCTCACTTTACAAGATTTTCACATTAAAAGAGCAAAGAATGAGCTCTTACAAGCGGCACTGCCCGTCTGCCAGTGTGAGTGGCTGCCTGAGCGGAGTACGATGGAAGTTCACCTGCAGTCCATGTCCCAGCTCACTCATCCTGTTGCCCTGTGCACTGCATCCTCTGCATCTCATTTATCTTCTCTTCCCCATCTCTTCCACAGCCACCATTTCCTGTCACTGTCCGGGTTATAAACTCATTGGGCAGGGAAGGTCTCGTTTTATTTCTGCGCGGCATTTAATGCGGTGGCCTCAGAGGTTCTGTGTAACCACTGAGGCTGGTTAAATAATACAGAACTGCTGGAGGAACAGGAGATACAGAACTTGGTAGAGAAAGTATTTAACAGGGAACCTTGTCCAGAAGCTCGTTAGAGCAATTACCCCTACAGGACTAACAACTGTCTCTTGCCTGGACGGAGACGGGAGAGGCCATCCCCAAAGGGACAGCTGGAGCTGGTCCCTGGGGTGCTTCACCCCGGCCCCTGTGCTGGTGGAGTCCTAAAGGGGTGATGTGCAATTGGAATGGAAAGTGTGGAGCACGAGAGGTGCCAGGTGAGCAGACAAGGCTCTGTGGAGCCAAGAGACAGAGCAAGGTACAAAAGTCCCATCTTTGCTGAGATTTGTGCCAGTAGCTCTGTGTGGTCAAGCTCTGGCTTGTCCCGTGTTGTCATTCCAGAAACTTCTGAGCTGTTTCTTTCTTTTGAAATAGACACTAATTCAGACTTCTGGGATGTCCTGAAGCCTTCTCGGTAGAAGCTTCACATTAGACCTCTGCGTAGGGCCGGTCACCAAACCCCATCCAGGGTTTCCTCACAGACAAAGGCTGGAGAGCCTCGTGATGAGGAGCAGAGCGTGTCAGCGCCGTTCACAGCCCGGCGCGTCTGCTGGGTACGGGGAGGAGGGACAGGCTGGGTCTTGAGCCTTTGCTTGCACAAGCAGCAAAATGCAGTTGTGTTCCTGAATGCATTTGTAATTCCTTTCTCTGTGGTAATGAAATACCAGCATCTTTTTTTTTCTGGCTGTTTACTGTATCTTACTTTTAAAAAAATTCTCTCCCACATATTAATTTGTCTCACCCTTTTATCTTCCCACATGCTGCCAGCTGGTTCTTCCTGTTTGCCTTTTTTTTTTAAATCCATTTAGAGGTTCTTTATTTAGCATTTTCTCTGGGAATTGTTTTCCTCCACCAGAAGGGTGTGTCAAGTCCAGCAAAGCCTTGCTTTCAAATTTACTGCTTCAGTATTATTTGGGAAAACTTGTTGTTCTTGATTTTATCCTGCTACTGCACATTCATAATAACTCAAAGGTGTTGTGTATTACATGATATTATATTATATTGTATTAGCACACGTCTACTTCAATGAAAATTCAATTTTCACTTAGAAGTCTCATTCAATAGAGGATGGTCAGTCAGACTGACTTGAACTCTTCCCCTGCCCTCTGTCCAGCCTCCGTGAATGTTTCTTTCCTCGTCACCTTCTACTTCATATCTCAGCTTATGCCTCCTCCTCTGGCAGCAAACATCCTTCCCCCAGCATCAGCTGGTCCCTTCCTCCCTCCTCTGCAGCCACTGAATCCCACAGGAGCAGCTCGGCAGATGGGAGTGTTGCTTATTTTTCTTTTTCCCTTGTAATGGTTGCTTTGTGGATATAGATCAAAGGTGAATTTCTAACCCAAAGTGTGTGATAAACGTAACTATCTGCCTAACAATTTTTTAAATACTTTCATGTTAATTTCCTCGTAGAAATTATTTCTCATGTTCAAGGCTATGTCAGTAGTAGCAAAGTTTTATTAGAGACAAGCTTTGGTAGCTGTTAGACAACTGACCACAAAACAGATCAGCCCAACCAGTGCGTGGATCAAAGCAGCACCAGAGGATGAAGAGGGAGGGAGGCAGCGTGGGTGGCGGGAGGGCAACTGTTGAGCAGAGCCCCATCCCACTGGGGCTGTAAGCAGGACTGAGGACTGTCAGGTTATTTTTGCCTTGCTTTTTCCAGATGGTTTGTTCTTCGAGAGAGCTCAGGGGGACGTGCAGTGGGGCTGGCAGGGAAGCTCTCATCTGCAGGGACCTGCTGAGGGAGGGCAGGAAGCGTTATTTCATCAGGGGTTTCCTCCACATACCCCTCTGGCTTTCTCTTACACCCCGGTGCTCTTGCACTGACCTCTCTTCCCCTCTCCTCCCCAGCTTGCTTCATTTGATGTACTTGTTGAAAGGCTCATGACTGACTGGTTCCCCCTGCCAGTTCCTCATTTCTGTGCTGTGCTGAAAAGTCTTCAACACATTTACTGCCAGTGGCCCCCGAGTGTCAAACATTGATAAATGCCCCATGGCTGCTTCCCTTCCTGCCACAGCCCCACTGATCCCTGTGCTCTGCCACCGACAGTCACAGCTGAGATCCTGCACGGCTGACCCCCTGCACTGCCCCTCTCTGGGAAAAAGGACCCATCTCCAGCCCCTCTTCGCTGCCCTGAGAAGCCCTGAGGTCTCTCATCCTCCTCTTCCCCAGGTACAGAGAAGGACTAAAGAAGCAACTCACAGTCACGCTCACGGGCTCCCAGAGGACACCTCACCTTCCAGATCCTCACCGGAGCGCGCGGGCTCAGGGCAGGCACGGCTGGCACAGGCTGGCTTTAAGCCCACCGCTTCTTCCAGCTGATGGTGCAGGGACTCCTCTTCCCACTGTCCCTCTGTGGAAAGGAGACAGCTCTGGTAACCAAAACCCCCAGGATCTGCCTCTTCAGTCACTACTGGCCATTTCCCCTTGGAACCACGAGGGTCATTAGGAGCAGCAATTAGCACATCCTCCATCCTGCCTGTCTGCTGACAGCTTTTGCTTTTCCATCTTGACACACTCAGGATTACCGGAGGCTCAGAGACAAACTCTGCCGGTGTCGTTTCATCCATCGCAACCGGCATTTTGGAATGAGAACTGATTTTTCTTGTAACTCATTTTGGACTGGGGAGTCCAGGAGAGCCCGTCTCAGGGCACCACCATTAAAACAGCTCTTCTGCCAAACTAAGGGGGTAGGTGGGTGCTTGGGCCGGTTGTGTGGGTCTGCAGCCATTTATGAGATTAGCAGCACGCCTCAGCATTCCCAAATCTCAGGGGATGGGAGGCAGGGAAGAGCCAACTGCTTTGCATACAAATTAAATTTCCCAAAACTTTAATTAAAATTGTTATGTGAAACTGAAAATGTTTAGATAATTTATTGTTTCAGGTAATTTAACTGCCAGTCCCTAATCCTGTCTAGCTGTTCCAAAGCCAATAAAACTCAGGTAAATGACAGTGTTCATGAGATGCCTTGCCCAGCTCGCGGTGAAAACCGCCCTTGAAGAATGCTGCACCCTGCCCAGGTGACAGGGACAGCTCTGGGGCCTCTCCCAGCCACCCTTACCAGCCCAAGAGGGGGAAACGGTCCCTGGCTTCAACCCGGGACATTTATCAGAGGGCAAATCCTCAGATGCCTCGTGGTTTGCTAATTGGCCCTGCTGCTAACAGGTCACTACTGGTTCCTCACCACAACGTTGGTTTTACCACTGGTATAATGAATTTTCATATCCCTGTCAGTCAAAGCACGGAGATTTTACTGTGCCCAGGTCTGTCTGTAGCCTGCGTACATGATGTCCTGCTGTCCCCCCTCCAGCAGGCAGTGGTAGGTCTGGATCTCCTGCTCCAAGCGGCATTTGACGTCCAGGAGGGTCTTGTATTCCTGGTTCTGGCACTCCATTTCCGCTCGTATTTCAGCCAGCCGCTGCTCCACGCAGGAGATCTGGCTCTGGAGCTCAGCCAGGTATTTGTTGTAGCGACATTCAGTTTCCGCCAAAGAGGATTCCAGGTTTTCTTTCTGAGAAAGGAAACAACACGAAGGAACCTGGGTGTGCTGCAAGCACAGCCTGTCTGGTTACAGGCACGACTCTGGGGAGAGCTGGGGACTCAGAGATGTGAATCCTAACGGCATCACCTACCATGGTGAGCTGAGCTTGTACATTGATTTCCAAGGCCTGCAGCTGACGTCTCAGCTCAGTGACCTGTTTGTTGCTTGACTCGATCTCCTGGCTGCTTGTGATGACCTCCAGATTCACCTCCTCCACCTGCAGAATTAGAAAAGAGCAGCCCTTTCCTCACCTCCCCACCGCATCCTGTGCACTGCTTGTGCACGCCCTGCAGTGCACCTGAGGGCTTCCCAGTCTGAAGCCCCTCTGTTTATTCCTTTGTGACCCTGTGACACCATGCAATAGCCCCTCTGCCATGACCAGAAGAGCAATGAAAGTACAATGAGATGCTGAGCACATCCATGACAGAATTGGTGGTATTTAGACATCACCAGTAGATGTTCTTAATCTCTCATTTTCCCTTTTCCCCAGCAGGCAGAGTAGGCTGCGGCTCTGCACACACAGTACCTTGCAGGCATACCACTGCTCAGTCTCTTTGCGGTTACGCTCCATCAGCGTTTCATATTGGCACCTCAGATCCTCCAGGATCTTCCTCAGGTCTGGTCCAGGACAAGCATTGACCTCCACACTCACATCTCCAGTCGCCTGTTTCCTCAGACAGTTCATTTCCTGCAGAGAATACACACACCATGTCAGTCATAGTGACAATCAGGGGACTTTGCTTCTGCTTTCTTCTTCTGTCTCTAAGCGTGAGGGGCAACCTGACCTCCTCATGGTTCGTCTTGAGGCAACACATCTCTTCGGTCAGAGCCTCGCACTGCAGCTGCAGGTCAGTCTTGCAGCTGGCCAGCTGATCCAGCACAGGACGTAAGTTGCAGATGTCTGCATCCACGTTCTGCCGGAGACCACATTCGGTCTCGTACCTGAAGCCACAGGCAACAAAGAAAGGTGACATGTCAGTAAACCACGGCGAGCCCTTGAGTTGAGCTTGTGGGGAAACAGTTTATGACCAAGTTCTTTTGTGTCAGGCATACAGCGCCAGGAACATTGCCAGTGCCATCCACACCTTTCAATTTAACACGGCAGCAGGACAAGCAGAGGGTCAGGATTCCCCCATCACCGCTGCTCACTGACCCTTCCATGGGCAGTGGGAACCCCTCGGTCCAGCACAGGCCCGTACTCACTTCACTCTGAAGTCATCAGCAGTCATCCTGTTGTTATCAATATTCAGAAGGATCTTGTTGGTCTCCATGGCTGCACAAAGGATCTGGAAAAAAAAATGCAAGAGAGAAATTCAGGCTTGTGGCTTCTTCTGGCTACAGAAAGTCCTGGAGGAAACACCTACCTGGGGTCATGCAACCCACTTATTTTATAACTATTCCCTATATTGGGATTATTGATCAGTTCAGTGGCATTGCAATGTGGAAACCTGCGTGCCAGCTTGGTGGAGCAGGCTGTACTGAAACTCCAGTTCTCAGTCAATGCCGCCTCCTCCTCCCTCCACCATCCATTTCATATGAACTATTGCTTGTGGGCACAGCCAGAGACACCGATACTGCCTCTGCCATTTGACGTTGCTCTGTCCACATGTGAAAGCAAAGCCTGAAGAAATATTAGAATTTTCTTGAAAAACAATGATTTACCTGGTTTTGAAGGTCTTCAATTTCCTTGTGAAAGCAGCTGTAGTCCCGTGGTTCACAGCTGGGCCCTACCTTGGCATACCACTCTCTGATCCTGCACTCAAGGTCGGCGTTGTCTCCCTCCAGCAGCCGCACCTTGTCCAGGTAGGAGGCCAGGCGGTCGTTGAGGTTCTGCATCGTCGCCTTTTCATTGTTAGCAAACAAGATCCCATCACCACAACCAGCACCAGCCCTGGTGAAACCACCACCGATGCCTCGAGTGCAGATGCCTCCACCGCCGAATCCAAGGGTAGAACAAGCCCTCTGGGTAGCTCCAAAGCTCCCACCAGCAGCACTGCCGACGTTCAGCTGCTTCCCAAGCAATCCCTCGCTTAAACTGCCACCAGAGAAATTGACAACCGCACCGCCCAGGTCATAGGCAACGTGTCTTCCTGAGGAGGCGGAGGAGACCTTCCTTCCACTACCAGCCGCAGAGCTGCCCGCGCTGCTCCTGCCTTGGGAACAGGTGGTAACGACCTGCCTGACGGCACAGCTCATGATGAGAGCACGAGGACACAGCTCCGCGCCCAAGGCAAACTGCACAGATGGCTGTGGGATCCAGTTGTGATCCCTCTGTCCCCACAGTCCTCTATTTATACCATTGCTCATGGATGTTGCCACCGGAGAAGGGCTGTTTGTTCTTCCTCCTTGTGACCTGGCTAGTACTATGTTTTTTTTTTCCAGCCGGAAATATTTCCCCAAAGGCATTTGTCTCCAGAGATCCCACAACAGAAAGGTGCTTTGGTTAACAGAAGCGTGGTTCAAAACTACATCAAAAATGTTACTTCCTGAATCATCAGGTCTGACTTGTGATGACAACTAAACAACAGTGACACAAAAAACTACGATACTCGAGAGTGCCCGAGGAATGAAACATCAGAGCAATTATCCATCCCTGACGTGGGCGAGTCTACCCGGAAAGTGAAAGCTGTGGGAAAGCCGTGGTGCTATCTGACAGAGCCCGTTCCACCCCAGCGTGACCCGGAGCGAGGGTTCCCCCTCGCCCACCTGCCCTGCAGCCCCTGGGACCAGAGCCAGGATTCCCCCCAGCGAGGGGCCGTCCTGTACCACGGGAACATCAGTTGAGTGAGAACCTGCCGGGATCTGGGGCGTCAGACCTGGAAATGCTCCAGAAAAACATTGCACTGGAGGTACCAGTGGTTATTTGTTACTCCTGCGTGCATCAAAACATCCCGGCTCAGAGGGAGGTTCCACTGTGTTTGTTTTTGCTGCTTTCCAGGCTAGACAAAATATTCAAATATTTATCCAAAAAAAAGAGAAAAGGCTATTTCCTGAGTGCCAAATGTTGCAGTTAACTGTGAATATTCACTGCCAAGAGAGGGCAGCTCCATAAGATGTTTCATAAGATTTCTAAAATAGTAACATGGATCATGTCAGAAGCAGCCTGATCCTGTACAGCTCTGGCCCAGTTCCATGGAAATTCTCCAAATATAATCTAGAGGAAATGTGTTAAATTTAGAAAAGATACTAGAAAAGCTAATTTTAAAAAAGATATTAAACTTGTTTTTTAGTCTTGCAATGCTGAATTGAGGCAGAGAAATAATTAAAACGTTTTGTCATCTGAATCTTTCATTTTATTAATAATATTAATCCAGCCCTGCTAATATTGGCTGACTGTCACCCGTGGGTTGTTCAGCATTGACTTGGGCATCCAGGTCACCTGGACACACAAAGGATGACTCAGGTGCCGCCTGTGTTAGAAATATTGCTGATGCCATTGGGGTAAGTTCATTAGTCTTGATTTTATCTTCACCCTGCGAATCCAGAACACCTTAAATGTGGTGTGGATTCTGTGTCAGTCTGTCCTTTGTTCCAGCCATAATTAGCTGGTGCAGCCTGTGCCATGGTGCCATGGCTGCCTCGTCACTGCCAAGATCCTGAGTGGCACGGGCAGGATCCGACTCCTCTGCCCTGGAGCCCAGCCCTGCTGCTGCTCTCGCTGCTGGAGCAGGAGTGAATCAGGGGCACAACTGGTCAAAATTTCTCTTTTATTCCATAGAGGAATTGTAAAATTAATGCAAACCTAACATTTAATTTCATTTCATGGAGAAATACGTAGTCCTTCATTTTTCAATGAGAAAAATTAAAAATTTAATAAGTGTGGTTTTTTCAATTATTGAAAACCAAGTAGAAATGTCCACGTTTCTTTCTTGCTTTTTGAACTTCAGACCCTGCCGTAGGTCTGTGTAGCCAAAGGGGATTAGAATTTCTGTAGTTTTTGTAAAGGAGAAAATTAATTTCCCTCTTGGTTTTACTGGCTTTGTGTGTTCTTCATGGTAGCTTTTTTTCTTTCCAAAATTTGAAATTTTTATTAAAACCAACTCTTGCTTTTACACCAGAGCGTACCTTGAGACCCACCAGCAGTTACAATCCTCATTTTATTAGAGGAGATTTCCATGTTTTTATGAGGAGATCTGTTAATGATGGTATCTACATGCATAATGGCAGGCTCTTTCCAGAATTAACTCTTCTTGACTTCCAGACTGGAGTCTACAGACGGAAATTTGCTCAGCACAGCCCTGTAGCCAGCCACGGGCGATGCCTCTGATGAGCCGTCCTTGCTTGACTTGGGAGCTCCTTGGAGGCAACATTGTGCCCCGAGGGAGTCAGTGGAGAGAGGAGCGATGGCCCAGGAGGATTTCCTGGCAGGCAGTTCAGCGGCAGCCGGGCAGGCCTGACAAGGAAAAATTATTACGTCAAGTAAGAAATGAGCAGAAAAGCCTCCCCGAGGCCAGGGTGCTGCTCCCATTTAATCAGCTTTGTGCAAAATGGAAGGAAAGGAATTGTGGTGGAGCTTCACATTGACTCGGGTCCTGTGCTTTATAGGCGGGAGCATCCCCTTTATAGGGGATGGGCACTGTGGAGTTATTCCCAAGGGTTGTTCCACACAATGATAAGGTTCAAAAGAGCAATGGAAATGAGAAAGAAAGATTAGATTTCCCTGGCGGGGAGTCCTTTGGTAGTCTCGGGATATTTTAAGGCTCAGGACTGTTCCTTAAGCTGTTGCATACAAGGTACAGAACCTACAATGTGCCCCCAAGAAGGAGATCCAGCATTTCACGTTATTCCAAACGTTCCCTGAATCACAAGCTGGTTTTATGCCCAAGAGAACTTCCCTGGAGACGTGGTGACTCAGACACGACAGCGAACCCCAAGTCCCTGCGGTGCCCAAGCCGCCGTCCAGCACCTGGCCCGACTACCAGCCCCGGCTTGAGCAGCCAGCAGGGAGTGCCCGGGGAGAGGAGCCGGGAGCCGGGCACTGCCTGGCATCCCAGCCTGGGCTGGTGTGTGCCCGCAGCCTGTGCCGGGCTTGGAGAACCTTGTCAGGAGGCCCCGAGACAGCGGTGGGAACTACAAGCAGCCCCAGCTCCCATCTGCTCATCAGCAGCTAAATTGCAGTGTTGCACCCATGGAAAGTTCTGGTGTTTGCTGGTTACAAAGCCTTTGCTTATCTGACGCGATGTAATTGTCACTCCACTGCCTCTCGGCCTGTGATTGGCGGCACCGAGCTGATCTCCATCTCGCTGGGGACGCCGGGCGCTCCAGGGTTCTGGTCTCAGCTTTGCAAATCACTCCAGGCAAATCCTTCAGCTTCTCTGCGTCTCAATTTCATCTTTGTAGGATGGAAACAATAATAACAGTAATTGTCCTTCTGAAGGGCCCTGTGAAAACAACTGTCTGATGTGAACACGGAGCTTTAGAGATCAGGAGCACGATGCTCGTTTTGAGTGGCACTCACTGCTGATATTCTTGCTGTTACATATTCAGTTTGACACTGGCACATCCTACATGTTTCTCTCTGTGACTCAGCTGATGAAATACCTGTCAAGGAGGTTCTTGGTTTTCCATTTTGGTTTTGTTGTCCATTAGTTTCACCATTTTTCACTGAGGACTTGCTTCTATAACTGCTTGCTGAATCCTAACAAGGCTGTTCTTGTGCTCACATCTTGCAGAAAATTTGATAAATGCTCTCCAAAACCAGTGTTTGTCCTTCTCTCAGATGACACAATTTGTCTGTGTTTCACAGGTACAAACTGTGTGTAACCAAAGAGCAATAATAAAAAATCAATTGCTTAATAGGTGTGTGGTGTTTTCCTTCTGCAGCACAGTGTGATGGAACAGTGATTCCTCGTGCTGAGCTCGGGCTTCTCTCGTGTTTGTGACACGGGTTATGCAGAGCTGCTGCAGAACCTCAGCCTTTTGGATGCAAATATATGTTGGTGAACAAGGGAAACTGCTGATAAGATCCTCCCAGGGGAACTGAATCAACTGGGCTTTCCAGCAGCTCTCCCAGCTTGTCTCAGTAATTCATTCCAGGCTGAAAATGACAGATGTAAGTGGGTATCTCAGCCCTGGGTGACAGGTATCAAAGGTAACTAAATGTGCTGCTGGATGAACCTCTCCCACGTGTCCTTCTGGCTGCAGAGAGGCCGTGCCTCACTGTGCTGCCGGCAGAGCCACTCCTGGACTGGCATCTTCTTTTAGCCTCCTCCTTATGTTTAATCCATGTTTGTGATTTTCAGAAAGCCTTTCTGTATTCGTACACCTGGGGCGTTCTGCAGATGTCTCGACCTAAAAAACTGTTGCTTATGACTGAAATATAACCACTCTTTTCTGATGGCAAAAAAATTCTGATTTACAGCTTAATCAGAATTTCCAGCCTGCACCCTCGCCCAGTGCCTTAAGGTCTGAGACAGCTTGATGCTGAGGTACATTTTTGCTTAGTCTAGTTTTGATTTGTGAGATGTCTGTAGCTCACTTCCCGTTTCTTCAGGGAAGGACTGTTACTCCAGCAAAGAGAAGAGCGTGACAGTGACCTCTGCACTCTGGTCTGTGTTGCATTTCTACCCTTTTCTGTAATTGCTGAACAACAACACAGCGTGATAACATCTCCTCACACTCCCTGTTCTAGAAAGACCTGGCAGGTTCCCTACTTCTTCGATCACCTTCCCTCTTTGCTTGTCTTGTCATGCCCAGCATGGCATCATCAGCTCTTTCCAAGAGTCTCTCCAGGCCAGGGAGCATGCCTTTGTGATTGTCCCATCAGGACTGTCATGCCTTTGTGGAGGCTGAGGGAGAATGAATCATCAATAATAATCCAAGAGACAAGCGTGCTTAACTTCAGCCACAGAAGCCTCTTGGACATCTTTATGAGCCAAGGGAAGCTGATTTACTGCAAATATTCCCTTTTCCTTTTGCCTAAGGCCCAAGTCTGTATTCTTGAGGTGAGTGATGAACATGAGGCCCTGGTCCAAGGCTGGACAGAGCTCCCAAGCACTGCTGCCTGGAAATCACAGAGTTGGATCTAAGTGATTCCATCAGGCTTTGGGGTCTAAAAGGATTTCCTCTCCTACCTAACCCACAAGACACGTTCAGTGGGTGTGCGACCAGCACAGCAGCATTTGGTTCCTGTGTCACTCTCCAGGAAGTGAGTGGGCAAAGACAAACCTGGCAGTGGGCAGCAGAGCACAAGCTGCCTCAGCAAACCCCGAACGGCAGCTGGCCTGAGGCCGGTGGTGATGTACGGAAACTGCCTCACGTGTTTCCAGAGGGATTTCAACAGTGATTTACTAGATGCTGTAGTGATA